ATTCAGGAGAGCTTCGAGTAATTGTTCTCTCATTGGTCCCGATTATTGAGTCACTTATCATTTGATTGTATTTTAGGCTAAATCACGAAACCCTGTACTTAGCCGTCAAACTGATCGACCAGTACTTGATGAGAGAAGTTGTCTCTAAACTCCACTTTCAGTTATTGGGCGCAACCGCTCTCCTAATTGCCGCCAAATTTGATGTAAAATTAATTGCAATTAAGTTTTCACTCATTTCTAACAAGTAATGATCATTTAGGAGCGCATTCCTCCGGCTATTGAGGACTTTATCTACATCTGCGACGACGCCTACACCAGACGTGATGTGGTTTTAATGGAAATCAAGATATTAAAGACTCTAAACTTCGACCTCTGTTTCCCCATCTCTTACCGATTCCTTCGCCGTTTCGCTCGAGTATTACCTCATATTTAGTCANATTTAGGAGCGCATTCCTCCGGCTATTGAGGACTTTATCTACATCTGCGACGACGCCTACACCAGACGTGATGTGGTTTTAATGGAAATCAAGATATTAAAGACTCTAAACTTCGACCTCTGTTTCCCCATCTCTTACCGATTTCTTCGCCGTTTCGCTCGAGTATTACCTCATATTTAGTCATTTGTTTGTTGTCTTATTGAAAATATCTGTTTTTGTTGTCCCAAAAGTGCGCCAAACTATCGATGGAAACGTTAACTTTGGCCCGATTCGTGTTAGAGATGTCTCTCATGGAGTATGAGATCATAGAAGAGGCGGACTCTCGTGTGGCCGCCGCCGCCCTTCTGTTGGCTCTTCGCATGAAAGGAGAGAATGAATGGGTATTTATAGACATAAAGAGTTGTCATTTGTTTTGTGTCTAATTATTATTAATGTTTTTTGTGATGAAAGAGTGAAACTCTTGAGTATTATTCTGGATATAAAGAGTGTGATCTAACAATCCTTATGTATCGCTTGAATGAACTATTGTTGACGCAAACCAAATGCAAAACTATAAGAACCAAATATTCTCACTCGTGAGTCCATACCATCTCATAAAATGATTTGATTTTTAAATCAATATCTCTTTGATGTGTGAAATATAGGATATTCTTCGAAGTCGCGAAGATCTCGGCCCTCCCTCGCAGTAAACCACTTAAAGTCTAGTATCAGATCCGCTCAACCATTGCTATCATGTGTGACTAATCCTAAAATCTTTTAATCAATTATTTTTAATTTTAATTAATTTTAAATTTAATTTTAATTTTTAATTATGAAAGCAAACATTTTAAGTTTAATTTACGGTATTATAATAAACTCAGTTTTATGATATTTTATGTTGAATGCAATTTGTGAATGAATTTAATAAAGCATTTTGTGATTTGTGTATTCAATTAAAAATTAGATTTGATGACATTAACTTTATATTATTCATATACGGTATTAGCAGTAAAATATGTTAGCTAGTCAAACAATTGTAAGCTAGAATTAATTGATTAATCGATTAAAGTTCTCATCCAGGTTTTCACTTTACAGTCAAATAAGTTAGAGAGTTTTTTTTGCCGATTACTGTTACGTTAAATTATTAATATACTGTATTTATATGTTTAAAGTTAACAACAGTTTTTCAGTTGTTGGCAGACGCTTACATCGATGAGTTAGCTGAAGATATACCGTAATATAAGACTAGCCGTTACCTACGGTATACAACCCTATGTCCAGGTGTACATAAATGATATAAATATTACTGTATTAATATGAAACGTCTATGATCAATTGAAATCACTGTATTGTTCAGTTGAGTTCAAGTTGGCAATGAAAATTGAAATCTCAAATCAAACCATGACATCTATGATTGAGTCACTCACACAGTATTACCAATATAGCCAAACAATTATGCAATGTTTGTGTGAGCAGGCAACAATTTATTGATTGCCAGTTATTTGTCACAATTATTGCCAATATTATCCAGTACAATTATTATAATTATATTATATTGTAGTACTCTTCGTATTGAATAAGAATTAAATGTAAGAGTTGTGATAAAGTGATGGAAATGTGTTATTAATGTATGGAAACAATGAATGATTGAAACATTTGTCATACGATTAGATATGATAGCAAGGAGTGAGTGATTGTGTGATTGTGTGACAAATCATAGCAAATGTCGTCCAATAGTCGTATCCATTGACGAGTTATTGTTATTTATTGTCATTTTGTGTGAAAACAATTCAATTGATTTGTGTTTATATATAATACTGTATTGATGTCAATGTAAATGAACACCAAATATGAAGACTATTTTTGTGGTTTTGGTTTTAATGACAATTATCTGGAATGCAATCAATTGTTCCAAAGAGCGACTCATTGAAGACAATATCGATGGCCTGATCGCAGGCTTCGGTGACTTTGATTCGGACAAACTTCCGGATGTCTTCATTATCACCGATAAGGGCAAGTCATTGGAGCTGTTGAAGGGATACCTCACGGAACCGGTGCTCAGGAAGTGGACATCCGTTAAGAAGTGCTCCTTTAGTGGCACCGATGAGACAATAGTGGGCGTCATTCCCGCAGACTTTTCGGGTCGAGCGTTGATGGATGTGCTGGTGATCACATCCAACAAATCCAGTGACAAGAAGTTCAATATCTGGCACATGAGGGGCAATGGCTCTCAATTGGATTGTGTGTCCAATGCAAGCAAACCGTTGGTCTCCGGCGCCAAAAGCCATCCCTTTGTAGTCGACTATAACGGAGATATGATCGCAGACTTCATCGTCCAGACCGACGCCTGTGTCCGTCAGCTGTGGATCGGGAATGCGAAGGGTTGGCAAACGGACTGTCCGCCCGATTTTAAGGACAGTCAAGGGATGCGTTTCCCGCACTCCAACGCTTTCATCAATTTAAATGATTACAACTCAGACCTCACGGCAGATATATTCATCAGTGGCGCCCAAACCATGGAGTACTGGCACAACGATAAGGGCTTCGGAAAGCTTGATATGGTTACCTATTCCTATCCCTCAAATAAGTACAAACATTTGGGACAATCGGCTTTCGTGGACATCAACACCGATGGACTCATTGATCACATTTTGGCCGTTTGTAGCAATGAATTGAATTCAAATGACAATGAGTGCAAAGACCCACAAATATTGGGTCTAGATTTAGACGGCAAACAGTGGATTCCTATCTCTGATATCAATATCGGTAATCAATCGGCCCTTACATTCGCTGAGGTCTCTGTTTTTGGGCAAAAACTTCCCATAACTTTAAGGCACGGAGATATTGATGGCGACGGATATTCCGATTTGATTACTGTTATGAAGGATAACAAGAATCAGTTTAAAG